GATTTTTGAAAAGTTAAATCTGTGAAGTGATTTGTGAAAATGGATATCTAAAATCAGGGATATGTGTAATTTGCTCTTATTTCTATTAGTATTCTGCCTTTTAAACTATTTATAAACTTGTCAAACTACAATAAGGCCCATCTGACAGACTTTTACTCCATGTAAAAAAAATTTTGGAGAAATTTTTATTTGAGAACTAATTTTTAAAAGAGATTAATATTTTCGAAGTGTTTTTTGAGGAAGTCGCACTCGATTAGATTCCTCTAAAAACTCTTCTAACTAAAAAAAATATTTTTATATAATTAGCAAAATTAGTTCAAAAGCAATTTTTTCATCTAAAAAGTTCATTTTAGTTTTTCGAAAATCATGCCAAACGGAATGCTTAAAGAGTAAAAACAACTTCAGGCCATGTGGCCCGTAAAACATGGATCGGGCCTAATGATCCACAATTTTTGATGGGCGTGCCTTTCGCCTGGGCAGTTGATGTACGTTTTAGATTTCACTCCACAAATTGTTTGCAGTTTCTTCACTTTAAAAAATTCTTTTCCCCCTCCAAAATCCATTTTATTGAACTTTCTTTTCCCCCTCCAAAATCCGCCTGGGCAGTTGATGTACGTTTCTGCATAATGGTATATGATTAATCGCTCAAAATTTTCGCACAGCCAGTAGGCAGACTTTACTAATGAGTGAATGTTTTTGCATTTCGATTACAGGCATGTATGTTTCTTTACATCTTATTATCTTATCTGCAGTTTCATTTGCAGTTCTAAATTAATTTTTGATATTTGAAAATTGGTTTTCTCTTTAAACACTTTTTTGAGTGGCAATACAAGATTCTTTTAGATATTCTCATTTTCTGGGATATTTTTAACGGGGTCTGCTGAAAATGATAAGGCTGTTTTAATTGGGTTAGCCTCATGGTTATTAAAAAATTCACATTTATTGTTACTCTTTTTCTTTATAAGTTGCCATTTGTGATTCGGGAATTGGATATTTTTTGCTCACACTGAAAAGGGTTTGATCTGGAATGTCGTTTTGGGTGAAAAATAACAAGTTCTTTTAGATATCTTGACGAGTGATCGAGTTTAATGTTAATTTCATTTGCTGAAATTGAAATGGGTTGGTTTTAAATTGTCTGTTTTCAGTATGAGAAATCACATTTTTAGCTTATTTAGGTTTTGGGACAAACTTATGGGTTTTTTTTTTTTCATCATATGGTATTACTTATTAGTACTGGGCATTGAAGTTTTCACCATGTTAATAATAAGAAAAATTTCATTTTGAATATCTTGGTTGACATGCCAGCCATTGATTTGAATAAGAGGCCAGATTGCTTGCCACACCATCAAATGTCAACAAAACTGTCAGTGTAGCAAAACTCTAATAATAATCACTCTGATGAGATGGTTTACCATCCTTTAAGATGTTTCTCAAGTTGTCATTTGTTTAAGTCCAATATTATAGCAGAGTCATTAGTCTACGCGTGTACTTTATCTTTTTTCTCTTATTTTTTGTTTTGTTCATAAATTGGAGACATTAATGGTAGTTCAAAGATTTAAGACATGTCAGTCATGAATGATATCATTCTTGCAAGGCTCTTGTTTGAGACTCTGCTCATTTGAGTTCCTGGTTGCAACTGTAGCTTCATAACCTTTTCACGCAAATGTTTTTCAAATGCAGAATTCTTGTTTAGTTTATGAGCTATAACCAATAAGATAGATAGAATGGAGGATGGAAATACAATCGACCACTTGGATTTGAAGCTGTTCACAAATGACTATGCAGCGTGTAGGTTTTAGAATGAAGTTAACTCCTCATTGATCAGGATAGTTTAGTTGATTTATGATTATAGGGAGATGTTAAATTCCATTACCTTTTGGGATATTTTGAATGACAAGAGTTCATGCGTTGATGAATGAGCAAAAGAGAGAAAACTGATCGATGAAGGTGAGAAGATTGAACTGACATGAGGT